GAGAAATTTACCTATGATCCTACCTCCCAAAGAAAGCTTTTGTCAACATTTTGGTGTGAACCCTATGTTGTCTTTTTCCTAGTTCAAATATACACCGTCTTTAAAAGAAAAATGGAATCATAGCATCCATGATATTTTGTAACCTGTTTTTCTTTTAGTGTAAATAGTCTTTTTCCATGTCACTAGCATTCTTCCTTAATATTATTCACATCTGTGTAAGGATTTCATGGCATGAATGTACCTAGTTTATCTATAAAGTGGTTAATAGCATAGACTCTGAAGACAGACTGCTGGGGTTCAAATCCCAAGTCTTCCAACCTTTACTAGTGTCAAAACGGGCAAGTGAGTTAGCCCTCTGTACTCTTGGTTTCCTCACCTGTGAGATGGGGCTAATAGGGCTTCCCTTGTAGGGTTGTTCTGAAGAAAAGATGACTTTGTAAATGAGGATAACCTCCCAAAGATATTATTTAACCAACTTTTTCAATGGAATATTTAGATTGTTTCCAAGGTTTTCACTTTTACACATACACCACAATTAACAAATTTAGTGCACTCTGAATTCCTTCCAAAGGAAATATTTGTGGTCACATTAGGGAAATCTTTTCCAGAGTGAATCAACACACTCAATGTACATTGAGTGTCCATATGTACAAAGCGTTATGCTATAACAAAGATAAATGAACACAGTTCTATTCCTTAAGACTTTTAAAAGGTAGTGGGGGTTAGAGCAAGGCACATTCATATACAAATATAATGCTATGTAGAAACATACCAGCACATAGACAGAGTGGCACAAATGAAGAACTTTGGGAGAGGAGAGCACCTTTTGTTGGAGAATCAGATCATGCAATCAAAGAGAAAGAAAGACTTCGTCCGCTGCTCCCACCGCCTCCCAAATCCCCAAATCAGAATTCAGAATGGTTTCTGTTTGTCATGTTGAGAATTTGTTACCTCCAAAGAGAGCACCAAGGGCGTGTTTCAAAGTTGGGAGCCAAGATATGGGTGTATAGTGCAAGACCAAATATTTAGGAAATACCCTTTTTCTGGAAAGGAAAGAACACATTTCACAGCTGAAAAGAGAAGTGAAAAATGAAACTAAAGAAGCATGAAGGTAATATTTACTTGCTAGATTTATACAGTGCCTACCTTTAGAAAAGCCTGGCTATAAATCCAGCATGTGCCCCCCCCCCCAACACACATACACTCTGTTCTGTTATCTGAATTCTCTGAAGCACATTTTGCGGGCATTTTTACTGTCATTTTAAACTCTTCATCCTTCTACCCACCCCAGATCACCCTCAAACAGGAGTATTTGAATTTTTTGAAATTTAATCTTTTTTTAAATTTTAATTCCAGCTAGTTAACATACAGTGTAATATTAGTTTCAGGTGTACAATACAGTCTTTCAACACTTCCATACATCACCTGGTGCAAGAGTGGATGTTTGGAGTCAGACACTCCTGGGCTAAACCCAGGTTCCACAGTTTTCCTGCTGGGTGACCCTGGACATCTAACTTAAGTCTCTAAGTCTCAGTTTCCACATCTATAAAATGGGGATGCTAATAATAACAGCTACTTAATGGGGCTGCAATGAGGATTACCTGAGTAAGGCCTGTGAAGCCTTACCACAGTACACAGTAGCACAGTACACATTGCTCAGTGGTCTTCGCTATTATTATGTCTGTAATATAGTGTAATATAGTGTAATATAGTGTCTGTAATATAGTATAATATAGGGGATGCAAACCAATTTCAGTATTAAACAAATAACCAGGTATGTAGGCCTCTGAAACATAGGACTATAATGTATCCGAAAGCTAAACAAAAGAGATATTTGGATTTGTGTCATTTCTAATTTTTTCTATTAGATTGAAAATTGAATATGGAAACACCAGAACGGTAAATAAGTCAGATTTCTCTTGTAACCAACAAAATCTAGACTGCTTCTAAATCTGGACTGCTTTTCTAAAGGTAGGCACTTGTATAATCTAGACAGTTCACAGTAGGATGAAGATGACTGATAAAGCTTAACGCCTTTCCCAGGAGCATTTGCATTTTCCACTGGGGCCAAAAACCTTGGCCAGAGGATCGAAGCTGGAGTGGTGAGGTTTCAGCTATCAAGCAGGGGACAGAGGGAGGCATTCTGACGCAGTGAATTGTAGCATTGCTAAACCATCTCACATACTCATTCATTCATTCATTCAACACCTATTTATTAAGTAACTGTTGTCCGCCAGACATTGTTGTATGCACTTGAGATACAATGGTGAACAGAATAGACAAAGATCCCTGTCCTCATGGGTTTCACATTTTAGTGGGGGCATACAGACAATGAACAATACAATTAATGAATAAGTAGGCTGTACAGAATGTTAGATACGGATTAAATACCATGGAAAAAGTAGAGAAAGGGGGAGAGTAGCAGTGGGGGGAGGTGTTGGGCAGGTTGCAGTATTAAATATGGTGTTTAGGATGAGCCTCATTGAGAAAGTGACATTTCCCCAAAGTTTTGAAGGAAGTGAGGGAGTTCACCAAGAGGACATCTGAGGAAAGAGTGTTTCTCTGTGGGGCAGCTTGAGCAAAGGGCTCAGGGTGTGTGCGTGTGTGTGTGTGTGTGAGAGAGAGAGAGAGAGAGAGAGAGAGAGAGAAGACACAGGGACAGGGGGGGGCAGGAGGAAGGAGGTGTGGAAGAGATCATTCCTACAGTGCTTGGGGAATACCAAGCAGGCCGTTATGGCTGGGAGAGCAGTAGGAGATGAAAGGTGCACACTGCTGTTCATGTGGGTCCTTGTAGGCTACTCTAAGGACCTTGGCTTTTACTGAGTGAAATGGGAACCTCTGGAGGGTTTTGAGCAGAGGAGTGTAGTGATGTGACGTTTTAAATGGATCACTGTGACTACTATTATCAGGAATATACCAAAGGTGGGGAGGGGAAGGCACACCAGCAAGATCAGCTACTGCAGAAACTCAGGTGAAGGATGATGTTGGCTCAGACCTGGGGGGTAGGGGGCAACAGGGGAGAAACTGCGATCTGGACACATTCTGGACCTATCTGAAGGTAGAACCAAAGGGATGTCAAGAATGACTCCAGATGTTTGGCCCCATCAACAAAGATGGGAAAGGCTGTGCGAGGAGCAGGTTTTGCACAGAACATAAGGAATTCAGTGTTTGGATACGTGAGGTTTGAGACGCTATCAGATTGCCAAGTGGAGACTGAGGTTGGCTGTGTAACCTGGCACTCAGGAAGGGAGGTCTGTACAGGAGATACAAATTTGATATAGACAGTTGCTTGAAGGCACGGGGACAGATGGGATCACCCAAGGAAGAAGTGTGGATGCGAGGCGAGGCGGTCTGAGGGCAGGAAGGTACAGGTCTTCCCCCAGGAAGCTGTAGGCTCCCTGGCTAGGGCTGACGAAGGCCCACTCTAGAGCAGCCCGGGCCTGCAGGGGGTGCCCTGGAACTCGCTGTGGTTGCAGAGTGATGGAGAGAAATGTTTGCTTCTCCGGGAAGGAGAGGCGCTCAATAGATTCCTTCGGGAGTGGCAGAAATAATTAAGAGAAGTAGGTAAGGATATCCTAGTAGCACACGTGCTCGGCTGCCTCCAAGGAATTAGAAAACCGGGGTCTATTAATCTGTTCAGACATCTGGGCACCACCGCCTAGCCTACGAGGCCCCGCCTCTCCAGCCCTTTCTCTCTCTCTCTCTCTCTCTCTCTCTCTCCCCTCCCCTCTTCCCATCCTCGCCTCTACATGTCACTTCTACAACCGCTCTGATTATAATTGATCAAACAGAATCACGGAATCACGGCTCATTTTGCTGTTTTGTTCGGTGGCCCGATCTGCAAAGAGACTCTGGTAGTTGGGCAGATTGTATCCCCCCCCTCTTGGAATTCCGCTCACAGAGGCCTTCCCGACGTGGTCGGCCGCGCAGGGACGCGCGGGGGCCGCCCAGGATTACGAGGGCGGAGGGCCGGGGCCGGCGGGGTGGGGAGGGGGGCGCGGCGCCGGCGGCCGGGCGCGAGGGGGTGTGTCCGCGCCCCGGCCTGCCGGCGCCCCCCGCCCTCCTCCGGGGGCGCCCGGTGCGGCCCCCTCACCCCCGCCCCTCGGCCGGCCCGCCGCCTTGCCTCGCTCCCCTTGACGTCATGTGGGCAGCAGGCTGGCTGGCTGGCGCGGCCGAGGGCCCGAGCTGGTGCTCAACTTCGGGCTCAAGTCCGCGCAGTGCGCCCTGCGCCGTGCGCCCGGCTCCCCGCGCGCCGCCGCCGCCGCCACCGCCACATCTGGAAGCGTTCAGCGCGTCTGCCTCCAGCGCGCCGGGCGGGCGCGGGCAGGGGAGGGCGCGGGCGCGGCGCGGCGCGGCGGGGCTGGGCTGGGCGGCAGTGAGCGCGGCGCTCTCTCGCGCGCCCGGTGTCTCCCTCTCCCTGCCTCTGCAGAAACAGCTCCCTGCCAGAACGGCGCTCGGCGCGGCGCGGCCCGGAGCGGCGGCGGCGCCTCTTCCTGCTTGCTCGCCCTCAGGAGTTGCTGGATCTTTTTGACAGAGAAAAGCCGACAGGGGCCTCGGGGAGGACTGGCAACGAGCGGGCAGAGACGTTTCAGCCCCCCTGCTGGCCCGGGCGGACCCCTCTCCCCCCGTCCGGGGGTCCGCCGCTCCCCCACTCCCCTCCTTTCCGCCTCTTCTCGCTCTGCCTCTCTCGATTTATTTTTTCAAATGGTGTAGCCGCCAGAGGTGCGGTGCTAAATTCTTGGAAGGGGCCCGGATGTACTGAGGATGCATTACAATTTCACAAAAGGAGGCAGTAGTGGAAAGGAGCAGTTTTTGGTGTTTGATGCAATAATGGGAATCAGGTAATCATCAGAAGGGAAGAAGAAATACTGCAGATCCACGGCTTCCTTGAATTTTGCACGAAAGCCGACCTCGGAGGAGGGATTAATCCAGACCCGCTTGGGGGTGTTTTGCCATTTCTTCCTCTTCGTGGCTTCTCCTTTTAAAACAATTTTTGGTCAATGGTCAATGAGAACACGAGGATGTACATTCCAGAGGAAAACCATCAAGGTAAGGCTGGACCCCGCCGCCTCGCCGGGGCTCCAGCCCGGTCTCCCCGCCCTCTCCACCCCTCTCCCGCTCTCCCCTGCGCGCTCCCCGCGGCCCCCGGGCCGGTCCCTGCGGAGTTGCCCCGGGCTGCGTCCGCGAGGGGCGCCCGGCGGCGGGGCGCCTCGGTCTCGCCCAAGCGGCCGGGAGCCCGACGGGACCCGGGCCGGAGCCGCCCGCGAGCCGGAGCGGAAAATTCCCGCCCCTCCCCCTCCCCGTGCCCGGCTTCTCCAGAGCATGTGTTTCCTATGAATTTCCAGGCGAGGGGGAAAAGTTCCCCAAGTGTCTGCTCTGCCTCGCTTTCTCGCGTTTGCCTGGAAAGCCCAACTGCCCGGCCAGCGGCGCGGGGGGGTGGGGGGGAGGGGGCGCCGGCGCCGCCGAGCCCCGCGGGCTGGGGTCCGTCGCCTCGCCCGGGGCGCGGCTGGGAGCGCGCGCGCGCACCCCGCCCCAGGTCGGCCTCGCGCCCCGGGCCGCCGCCGGGCATCCCGCTTGCTGCCGGGCGCCCCTTCTCTCCGGCAGCGCGCTCCAGGTGGCGGGTGGGGGGCCTGGGATGCAGATGTGAGTCTCGGCGCCTCTCTCTCCCTCTTTCCCCGTCTCCCTCGCTCCCTCTCTCTCTTCCTCTCTCCCGGCTCCCTTTCTTCTCTCTCTCTTCCTCTCTCCCGGCTCCTTTTCTCTTCTCTCTCTCCCTCTTTCCCCGGGTCTCCCTCGGCTCACCTACACCCACCCACCTCTCTACTGCCATTGACCCCGGGTGCACCCACGCCCCGTGTGTTCTGATTCGCACCCACATGTGGGCTAGCACCTGAGGATGTAAGCAGTTAGAATTCGGGCGGTGTGTGGGCTTTGATTTTTCATGTTTTAAGGAAATAATGAAAGGGTGTGCCGAGCTCACAGGACTCCACACTGTTGCCCAGTGTTTTCCCAGCATCTCCATCCTGGGCATCAAGTGTCACCAGCTCCCCGCAGTGAGGGGGAAAGGCTTTCAGGTAACTCCCCACTTCTTGGAAACTTTCTCCCTCCCCCCCTCCCCTCATATTAACAAGTTATTATGTTTTGGCACTGCTCAGCAGCTCAGGTTATGATGGAGTGTGGAGGGATGGTCTTGCTGGAGTGTGGCAGCCTCCAGCTTCATCTCTGTCTTGTCTCCATGGCTTTCTCTGCCTCTTTTGGGTGTAGTCTTCCCTTTTTCTCTCCCAGTTTCCCAAGCCTCCCTGTTTACACTCCCTTTCAATTGCGTCCTTCTGAATACCTGTCGCTGTTAGTGCTGTTACTTCGTGGGGTACTTTAAGTGATTCTCTGAGGACCCCAGCCTGGTGGAGGGGTTGCCTCCTTGTCTCTTCTTTCCAGCCTCCTCCTCCTTCTGCTCCCATCTCCACCATTTGGGGACAGATCCCCTGTCCTTTAGAGCTACCTGCCTGGTCTCTGTCCATCCTGAAACTGATTTGGGGGCTAGCTGTCCCTCTGCTTTCCAGCTGGGGTGGCAGTGTGGGGATTTTGACCCCTCGGTAGAGAGAATTTTGTCAAGGGCCATGGGTTCTAGGGTGAGCCAGGGCTTTGTCATAAGGGCAGCTTCTGTCCCTGGATTTCTCTATGCCATGACCCCATCTGTCACCTGTTCCTCCGGTCCCCTTCCTAGCAGATGGAGCAGTGGATGCATTAGGAGGTTGAGGATGAGAGACACAAAGGAAAGGGTCATATTTGTGAAGAGTGGGGATGGATGTCTCCCCTCCAGGTTCTCAACTCAGCCTGAGCAGCCTTGAAGAGGAGAGCTCAGTAGTATTGTCCTTACTGTCACTAACAATGGCAGTATGCCGTGGCAAGAATTATTATTCACATAAGGATAATCTTCAATAGTTTGCCAGGTCCCCTCTTAGTGCGGGAGAAACCCCTCTTAGCCCCTTTCCTTTTTTTTTGCCCCTTTGTCCCCCGTCATTCCCTCCCCCCACCCCACAGAAATGCAGGGAGCAGACATTAAAAGTAGGAACACTGACCCTGGAGAGGTTTGTGAGAAAAATGGAGGGACAGGAGCGAGTGAGCCGTGGCCAGGAGCTCTGCCTTTCCAGCAACATGCCAACAAACACTATGGCAACCTGAATTCCAGTTCTCTCCCTTGAAGCTGCAGTGATTATATAATTCACAGGAGCAATTTTGCCTCCATTCCTGGATGCGGTGCTCAGGTGAAAGAGCACCAGGATCCCTGTCTCCCCTCCATTGCCCATTCCCCTGTCCTCAGTCACTGGCATTGCCCAGGGTTTTTTTCAAGGAGGAGAGAAAGAGGGTGATGGAGGTATGGAAGGCAGACCTGGAAAAGCACGAATATTTACAAGGAAGGGGTTGCTGTGGTTTAATAACCGAAGGGGTGATGAAACATAATTGGGGGTTAGAGTTTCAGGAGAGAGAGAGAGAGAGAGAAGAGAAGCCAAATGATTACCTCAGATCAGTGATGGTGACGAACCAAAGAGTGGAGAACCGAAAAAGTTGCCAGTGCAGGGCTTTACATTCTTCTCTTCCTGACAGATTTGAAGGCACTGAATGCATTGGCCCTTTCTCCCCAGCTTTTTGGTGGTGGTGGTGGTGGTGGTGGTGGTGGTGGTGGTGGTGGTGGTGTGTGTGTGTGTGTGTTGAGGGTTGAGGTATGGAGACCCGTGATCAGTGCACTGGAATAGTCTGAAGGTTCACTGAAGGACTGGCTTTTGACCCTGGGTTTCAGGCTGGGAGTGGCTCATGTGGGCCTTGTCTTACCTCTAGTGCCCTATCTGCTCTGGTCCCACGCCAACCTCCTACTTTTCTGGGCTGATTTTCCATTGCAGGCTCCAGCTAGCAAATGAGTTTCTTAATAGTCAACCATTTAGCAAATAAAACATCAGAATGTCCCTTATCTGCTGGAGACAAGGCAGAGGGGAGAAACATGTGTTCTGGGAGTGGAAGACACACTGTGCTTTTCTTTTAGCTACTTAGCAATACAGCAGAATAGTAATCATCATAATAAAGTAATAATAATAGTGATCACAGTTAACTCTCTTTACAAATGGTCATAGAACAGTGTCACTTGCACCTCAGCTTGTTCAGGCTTTAGAAAATGTGACATTAGCTTCTCTTTTTCTGGATACTGCGTGGAGGAAACTGGAGGAAAAGGGCTTTTGAGGCTCTAAATATCATTCCTAGTATTGCTCTGTTACTTTCCAGTGTATCAGAATAATACATAATAGACTATATTACAAGAACCAATTATTCATTATTTCTATAGAGCACACACTAAAAGTATTTAAGTCTGTGCACATGTGCATACACACACACACTGAATAAGGAAAATATATTTTATATTTTAGATTACACAAAAGATTAATGCACTTTGGGGACTCAGCAAGTTGTGGAGAGGAATATTGGTAATGCAGTCCCCTGAAACTGTTTGGACATTTCTACCTCATGTGAAGTGGACAATTGTTCTCTACTGGTAGATGTTCTAGGTATAGTAGTTTGCAAATGAAATGGTGAGCCATTAGCCCCTTCAACCATCTCTCAGAGTCTTGGTGATGACTTGAACTCTTACTGCAATTTTTTCTTTGACTTAAAACTGCCCTAGGTGGGTTCTTCTATGTATATAAGACCTTGGACTTATACTGAAGCACGCTGAATGAGGATTTCGAAGCCCTGCTGATCTTTGTGTCCTCACTTCTAGCAATGGTTCCTGCTCATTCCAGGCCCCTAATACATGACTGTATGAATGCCTGCCCGCCTGAACGAATGAATGCAGACTCAGGAAGACCTAAAGTGGATGTGCTTTCTACCTCTCCCAGTAGGTGGCGCTCCAGGGCTTAGGAGTCAGGAAAGGGGCACTCCCATTAGGTTTGGTGAAGAAAGCTATTGGGAGGTTTTGGAGAATTTCCTGTGTGCTGTGACTCTGATTATGCCCACACCTGTCCCAGTGCAGAGAATCCCAAAGACCAGTGCGTATTCCCATGCCACCACACACACCGGAGGACCCCCAGGGTGACTGAGTCCCTCAGGGACCTTGCCACTCTCTGGTAATGCAAACCCACTTTGGATTTCTCCCACTCTTGCACACTCTTACCTCAGACTTCTGTTTACTTCTTGCACAGACGGCATCCTACTGAGCCTTGAGGGAGCCTTTTGGGCGATTAGTCGAACTTGTTATGGCCGTATATTAATTTTCTCCCTGATTTACCATGGATGGTTTAGTAACCAGAGGGGCCAGGGGTTCCCAAGCCCAGTGGAGCATGAGGTGACCAGAAATTTGGGATTTGGAAACCCTAACCTATAGGGTTACAAAGCTTGCAGGCTCAAAGGCAAGAAGACATTTTCCTAACTTTATTAGGGAAAAAAACACAAAAACAACTGGGTACACTTCACAGCTGATTTCTGTTTATGAGTCTGGCTGGGCTCCTGCTGGGTAATGGCAGAAAAGCTCCCGAGACCCAGGTTAGGCAGTAACTGAGATTTGTTCTAATTTTCAGTGATGTTTTCCAGCCTTTCCTTCACTTGGCTTTCTTAGTTGTTGTGGCAAACTCTCTGAGGTCTGAGAAACCCTTGCCATGGTGTTTAGAAGGGGTGAATGAGTGCCCCATAGGGTCTTCTTCCTTTTCAGTAATTCCTGCTGCCTGGTGAGGCAGCCGTTTGTTAGGTGGTAGTGACAGGTCAGTCCGTGTCATCCCCATGCCTCCTTGCCGGACTCTGAAACCAATGCTCAGCATTCAAAAGCAGGAGACAATTTTATTTTCCGACACGGACTAAAGAAAGCGGATAGATTGTTTGGGGAGACACCTGAAGACTTAACAACAAGACAAATTAGTAAAATAATCATGCTGATTTAGTCTGTTTTGAGATCCCATCCTCACTGTTGCCTCCGTTAATGTTGGGCACTGGAGGAGAGCAGAAGACTGATGACAAAAAAGGCATGGGAATTGTTTTGCAAAATATCAGGTGCTAAATATTTAGCAACACGA